GGGCCCAGGCTGGATTCGAACCCGCCACCCTAGGTGCATGTGGCTGGCGCCCTAGCCACTTGAGCCACAGGCGCCGAGCCGGCAATTTTTTTCTAGTGGTGAATGACTTAGAATGGGAAGAGCCTAGAAAAGCTCACCAAGTTGAAGGCTGTTAAAATATTCTCGAGCCTGGTTTAGGCAAGTTAATGTGGTAATGATAATTGTATACAGGTGTAAGAGTTATTTCAGAGGTTGAGATAGGGACCCTTGCCCAGAGCTACAGTGAGGATAAAGTGGGAAACTTCATCTTTCAAGTTTTTCCTTAGTAACTTTCTCCCAACTATTTTTTGCCGTGTCCTCCCTTTCCCACTCTGTAGATTAAATTATTTGCTCACCCATATTTTCAGAGCATAGTAAGCACATCCATTATGGTATGTGGTATAGTAGGAAAAGACCAGATTTTTTTTTTCTTTATAGAGACAGAGTCTCACTTTATTGCCCTTGGTAGAGTGTGGTGGCATCACAACTCACAGCAACATCCAACTCCTGGACTTAAGCAATTCTCTTGCCTCAGCCTCCCACGTAGCTGGGACTATAGGTGCCTGCCAAAACACCCAGCTGTTTTTTGTTGTAGTTGTTGCAGTTTGGCCAGGGCCAGGCTCGAACCCGCCACCCTCAGTATATGGGGCCAGCGCCCCACCCACTGAACCACAGGTGCCGCCCAAAAGACCAGATTTTTAAAAAATTTAATTGTGGTAGGCTGGGTGCGGTGGCTCATGCCTGTAATCCTAGCACTTTGGGAGGGACAAGGTGGTTGGATCGCTTGAGCTCAGGAGTTTGAGACCAGCCTGAGCCAGACCCATTCTCTGCTAAAAATAGAAAAACTAACTGGGTGTTGTGCTGGGCACTTGTAATCCCAGCTACTCAGGAGGCTGAGGCAAGAGGATCTTTTGAGCTCAAAAGGTTGAGGTTGCTCTGAGCTATGATGCCATAACACTCTACCCAGGCCCACAGAGTGAGACCCTTGTCTCAAATAAATAAAATTTAATTGGAGTTTTAAAAAAGTGACAGAGAGCGGTGCCTGTGGCTCAGTGGGTAGGGTGCCAGCCCCATATGCCGAGGGTGGCAGGTTCAAACCCGGCCCCATTCAAACTGCAACAGTGAAATAGCCAGGCGTTGTGGCAGGTGCCTGTAGTCCTAGCTACTCAGGAGGCTGAGGCAAGAGAATTGTCTAAGCCCAGGAGTTGGAGGTTGCTGTGCACAGTGCAACAGCACGACACTCTACCAAGGGCGATAAAGTGAGGCTCTGTCTCTACCAAAAAAAAACAAAAAGTAACAGAAAATTTACCATCTTAACTATTTATTTATTTATTTAGAGATAGAACCTTAAGCTGTCCCCCTGGGTAGAGTGCTGTGGCATCACAGCTCACAGCAACCTCCAACTCCTGGGCTCAAGTAGCTGGGACCACAGGCGCCTGCCACAATGCCTGGCTATTTTTTGGTTGCAGCCGTGATTGTTGTTTGGCGGGCCCAGGCTGGATTCAAACCCGCCACCTTAGGTGTATGTGGCTGGTGCTTGAGCCACAGGTGCCACACCCATCTTAACTATTTATAATTGTACAGTTCAGTAGTGAGAAGTATATTTTACATTGTTGTGAAACAGATTTTCAAAACTTTTTTGACTTGAGAGTACAAAACTCTCTACCCATTGAACGACTCCACGTTTCTCCCTCCCCCTCTCTTGGTAACCACCCTTCTACTTTCTGTTCCTGTGAGTTTGACTAGTGTAGAGAACCTCATGTAAGTGGAATCATATAGTATTGTCTTCTTGTGACTGGCTTATTTCACTTAGCATAATGTTCTCAGAGTTGATCTGTATGTTGTAGCATGTGATGGAATTTCCTTAGAAAAGACCAGATTTTACAGGAGGGTGGACCTGAATTGAATTCTTGTTCTGTCTCTTGCTAGCTGAGTGACTTAGGTTAAGTATTTCACTTCTCTCACCCTCAGTTTCCTTATTTCTAAAGTGGTGATAATAACATCTGTCTCATAGGACTGTTAGTAAAATATGTCACATAGCTTAGCCAGGGTGGCACATGGTAAATGTTGAGTAAGTAGTGGCTCTGAGCTAGTAGCTATTAGTCTGGGCTTCTTAAAGGTACTGTGTCTTATTTTTCTTTGTATCTGCAGAGCCTGTAACCATGCCAGGCACTTGATCTTCAGGACTCAGGAAATTGTTTGAATTGAAAATACTGTATCTGCAGTCTTGTCTCTGTATTCACTTCCGGAGTGGTTCCATGGCTTTAAAGAGTTCCAGAGTCAGATTGTCTGGGTTTAAAAACTGGCTGTGGTGCTTGCTTCAGCAGCACATATACTAAAATTGGAATGATACAGAGACGATTAGCATAGCCCCTGTGTAAGGATGACATGAAATCCGGCTCTGTGCTTAATTGCTATGTGTCTTTAGGCACAGATACTTCATCTCTTTATGCCCCAGTTTCTGCATTTGTAAAATAAATATAGTACCTTACCTCCTAAGGTCGTGGTGAGGACCAAATGAGTTTATACATGTAAAGCGTTTAAAATAGTGACTGAAGTGTGGTAAGCATGCTATAAAGGTTAGCTTGTATTGCTATTAATAAATACTCTGTATTCTGATGGATCTTAAGTTCATATTTCCGTTCCTATTTTCTCCATTTAGCTCCAGAGAGGTTTGTATATCCAATTGCCTTCTCACTGTTTCCACTTTGATGTGCAATGGGCATCTGAAACTTACTATGTTGGAAACCGAAATCCTGATTCTTCCACCAAACTTGCTCTTCCCCAAGTCTTCATCATCTTCCTGAATGAGGGAAGCCTGGGAGATGACTCCTGGCCATATGATTTAGAATGGGCCTATGTTACTTGGATTTTAATTTGCATAGTTTGCATTATTTTCTTCCCTCCCTTTCATTTTACCCTGTGTGGAGGTAATGAAGTATGATGGCATAAAGCTTTAGTGCAGGGGTGTCCTAGCTATAGCCCATGGGCCTCATGCAGACATGTAAGGATGTTTTTTTGCTTATCTATGGTGGTAGATATCAATAATAACACATGGACCTTTTTTTGCTAATCAGCTTTCCTGAGTGTTTGTGTATTTACTGTGTGTCCCAAGACAACTCTGATTCTTCCAGTGTATGGCAAAAAAGAAGGTTGGAACACCCTTATGAGTGTTTACTGAGCCCTTTCACTTTCATCAGCATGTTTGATCCTTAAAGTAAATCAGATCTTACAAATCCCTTGCTTAAAACTCTCCAGCCTCATTGCATTGCAGTTACAGTCGAATCCCAATTCCTTGCCATGAACCGTGCATGATAGTAGGAGTTGAAGGAAAGGATAGACTAAGTAAACCCTGAGCAATAGTGCAGCTCACATTATAGGACTTGACCCACTGTCCCTAGATACTCTTCAGTTTGGCAATCTGGTGTCAGGCTGGGTTGTGGAATCTCTTTCCATTTCCCAAGTGCCAGTCCTTCCTTGCTTTATGATTAGTGGCCTAGCTAAATTCATATTTTTTCTTTAGATTGACTGACTCAAATTTCAGTAGGTGCTAGTTTTAGCTTCATTTTAAGCATTAGTATTTGTGAAAGCTAGGGAGTTAAGTCAAATATCACCTTGCCTATCAAGGGTAATTTGATACGGAAAAATTCCTGGGTAGGCTAAATTCTCATAAGTATATAAATACCATTAATTTCAACAAGAAGTTTTTGTATTCACAAGCCCTAAAATTTACTCCTCATGATATTGAAGCAACACAAATCCCATTAAAGCTGACATAAGTGTTCGGTGGTTAACTTTTGTCATTAGAATAACCTAACAAGGCATTAAATTTTCATTAATTTATCCTTTAAGATAAGTGTATTTACTTAATATGATATTTTGAGGCATTAGATATCTTACACTTAGGATTAAACAAGTTGTGCATTCCTTTAGGGAATTTAGCCTTTAATTACTTAAAAAGAAAAGCAAAGACAAAACAATCAGTGAAAACTGTAAATGTCTAGAAATGTCATATTCACTAAACAGGTTGACAGCTTAGAGGGATGATATAGGAGATTATCATTGCTGTAAACTGTCAAACCACAAGTAATCCAATACAAAACCCGTAGGATACCTGCCAGTAATTAAACTGTGGCGATGACTGCATGGTGGCTCTTTCATCACAGCGTTCAGCTGTTTACAAGGAAAACAAAATCCAAATGATTTTTCTTTAATTTTAATTTTTAATTTATTTTTTAATTTTTATTTATTTATCTATTTATTTTTTGCCATAGTCTACCTCTGTTGCCTTGGGTGGAGTGCAGTGGCACGATCATAGTTCACTGCAACCTTGCAACTCCTGCATTCAGTAAATCCTCCTGCCTCAGCCTACCATAGTGCTGGGATTACAGGCGTGAGCTACTGCACCCAGCCTGTTCATGTTTTTAACAAGTTAATCGGGTTACTGCAGATACTTGGAGAAAGGTTTTGGAGAAAAAGTGAAAAACCTGCTGTTCTTAAGGCTTTTTCAGTGTTGGAAAGGGAGAAGTTGATTGCGTCGACTGTTATTTTTTTGGTTAAAGGAATATTTTATGTATCCATTCTTAATAGTTTTTATAATGAGAATTTGGTTAATGAAGGGATTTCACTAAGCTTTTGTTTTAACGCTCTTTAAATCATGACTAAATGAAAAAAGATAATGCAGTAGCTGCACATTTTCAGAAAGTCAGCATGGACAACAGACTGGTGGAATTTTTTTTCTACCAGTAAGCAAAGCATAGAACACTTCACAAAGTATTTTACCGAGGCAGGCTTGAAAGAGCTTTCATAGTGTGATCAGAATCAGCAAACTGTAGGAGCTGGTAGGGAGCTCTAGAAGGAACTTGAAGAGCAATATGTCCCATGGTGATCCAGTTAGAATTTTGTCAAGGAGATAAAAATCCCAGAACCAGGCTCAGCGCCTGTGGCTCAAGCCGCTAAGGCGCCAGCCACATACACCTAAGGTGGGGGGTTCGAATCCCCAGCCCGGGCCCGCCAAACAACAATGACGGCTGCAACCAAAAAATGGCCGGGCGTTGTGGCGGGCGCCTGTGGTCCCAGCTACTTGGGAGGCGGAGGCAAGAGACTCGCTTGAGCCCAGGAGTTGGAGGTTGCTGTGAGCTGTAATGCCACGGCACTCTACCCAGGGGGACAGCTTGAGGCTCTGTCTCAAAAAAAAAAAAAAAAAATCCCAGAACTGGTTGTCATTGGAACAATCTGGTCAAATGTAATGAGTACAATGGAGTGGAAGGAAAAAGAGGAGCTTGTAGCAAGGCAAGCCATCAGGCACTTGAATACAGCCCTCTACTTACTGCCTTTACCGCTCACAGTCAGTTGAGCTGACTCCGTTACTATAGATTCAGGAGTATTAGCTATGAGAACTTCATTTTATGAGAGCCTTCCAGAAAATAGTGGCTCTTTTTTATAAAGCTCAAGTCCTGAGTGAATTGCCCATTCTAAAGTGGTGTAAAGATGCACGTATTGCAAAGGGGAGAAGTGTCTTCCTTGAACAAATGAAAAAGTTTGAAGAGTGGCTCAAAAATGCTAAAGAATCTGATTCTGAAGCCAAGAAAGGTAACAGAATTTTGAAACTACACCCTCAGCAAAGCAAGCAGGAGTTATAGATTAAAAAAAAAAAAAAGTCGTGTATCCTGGTTATTACATTTTCCTACTTCTCTATATTGAGCATGATATAAGAGCTTCCATGGCAATTTATTTATTTAATTTTTTTGAGACAGCCTCAAGCTGTCGCCCTGGGTAGAGTGCTGTGGCATCACAGCTCACAGCACCTTCCAACTCCTGGGCTCAAGTGTTTCTCCTGCCTCTGCCTCCCAAGTAGCTGAGACTACAGGTGCCTGCTACAACACCTGGCTATTTTTTGGTTGCAGCTGTCATTGTTTGGTGGGCCCTGGGCTAGATTCAAACCCCCAGCTCAGGTGTATGTGGCTGGTGCCTTAGCTGCTTGAGCCACAAGCACCAAGCCTCCTGGTAAATTTTATTGAAACTTTTTCTGTAGTTACAGTAAATGCTGGGTTTAGTTTCTGAAACCATGTTTTAACTTGCTGCAGGAGCTATAGGTTTAAATCTAATGCTGCATTCGTCTTTTTTACCCTTGTATTTTCTACTAAAATAATGTATTTTAAGGCCTTCCACAGTGAACAATGTACTTTATTCCCTGTGTTTTCTATAAACGATTTTCAAAATACGATTTGGTTAAAATAATTTGTTATAAAAATTGTTTACAATTGTAAAAGTACCCAGAGTCTCAAGAGGCAATCATTTGTGTGATAACTTGGTGTGCTCAGAGCCTGGCTCATCAGTGAAAACCTCATATGTAATAATTCATTAACATGTGTGTTGAGTATTTGGACTCTTGCTTGCATGTTAACATTTTCTTGCATTTTTAACCCCAGGTATCCTTTAGTTCAATTATTTGCTATCTGATTCTTTTTTTCTTTTCAGTTTTTGGTTAGAGCTGGGTTTGAACCCACCACCTCCAGCATATGGGACCAGCGCCCTACCCTTTTGAGCCACAGGCGCTGCCCTTGCTATGTGATTTTATCCTTAGCAAAGCCATGGAGAACAGATTTGAAAAGTTTGAGAAATCATATGTAGCAGAGGTGGTAGAAAGAAGAAAGTTGAGCTGTTCCCATTGAGAAACGTGTGCATTCAGTTTGTATCTTTCTAAGCAAGACAAATGGCTGGTCTTTTCTTCATTCAACCATTTTCAAATGTAGTTTAGAAAAGTCTTGTTACTTAGGCTCGGCGCCTGTGGCTTAAGCGGCTAAGGCGCCAGCCACATACACCTAAGGTGGCGGGTTCAAATCCCCAGCCCGGGCCCACCAAACAACAATGATGGCTGCAACCAAAAAATGGCCGGGGGTTGTGGCGGGTGCCTGTAGTCCCAGCTACTTGGGAGGCTGAGGCAGGAGATTCGCTTAAGCCCAGAAGTTGGAGGTTGCTGTGAGAGTGATGCCATGGCATTCTACCCAGGGGGATAGCTTGAGGCTCCATCTCAAAAAAAAAAAAGTCTTACTTAAAAAAAATTTATGCTCAGAATACACTTAGATTAATAAGGACCCATAAAGAAGTCAGAGGAAATTACTGATCTATTAAACCCAGTAAAAATTGTTGAACGTGGGAATCTAGATATAACTTAGATTTCCTATTGTCTTAGAATTATTTGTAAAGAAGGAAGTATAGTGATAATTATATGTTCCCACTTGGTCATATTGAACTGGCTTCTTTCTCTTAACATATTCAATAATGACTTAAGCATCTGGCTATTAATGTACTTTAGTTGCCATTTTTTAATTGCCATGAGCCAGATATTACTTCTATACAATTGATTCATTTATTTTAATGGCTGCTTTTTTGATTTCATCTTTCTTGCTGTTACCTATATATGTAGTCATTAGGGGGAAAAATAGCCCCATTTGGGGCAGCACCTGTGGCTCAAAAGGGTAGGGTGCCGATTCCATATGCTGGAGGTGGTAGGTTCAAACCCAGCCCCAACCAAAAAAAAAAAAAAAACCCTTTTTTTGATGGAAAGATGATGTGTTAAAAAGTGAACGATTTGAAGGTTTTTTAATTGGTGAGAAAAACTAGCCTGGAATAATGCCACCAGAAGCTAAGTAGAGATCGCTCCTTTTGAAGATGGCATTCTTGGGCGGCGCCTGTGGCTCAGTGGGTAGGGTGCTGGTCACATATACCAAGGATGGTGAGTTCGAATCCAGCCCTAACCAAACTACAACAAAAAATAGCTAGGCGTTGTGGTGGGCGCCTGTAGTCCCAGCTACTCAGGAGGCTGACGCAAGAGAATCGCCTAAGCCCAGAAGTTGGAGGTTGCTATGAACTGTGATGCCATGACACTCTACTGAGGGCAACAGTGAAACTCTGTCTCGAAAAAAAGAAAAAAAGTGAAGGTGTTGTTCTTGTGAGCCAAGAGTTTGGTGTTTAAAATTTATCCTAGTATAATTTGAAATAAACGTATAGTAACCTTAAAGTCATAATGGTAACAATGTGAATGGGATGCATTTATTAAATGAATAACATTGATAAAACTTTCATGCACAGGTAAAATGTACTAGATTTCTACATAGTGCTCTGCTTTTATAATGTTATTTGCAGTTCTGAAAAGCCTTTTTTTTTTTTAAATCCCTCCTTATACTTTAAAAAAACCACAAACGTTTTAAACTTTCATGAAGTCCAGTTTATCTGTTTTTAATTTGGTTGATTGTATTTTAGGTGTTCTAAGAAATTTGCCTAATCTAAGGTAGTGAAATTTACACCTTTATTTTCTTTTGAGAGGTTTTTTTTTAAGAGTTTAATGTATTTTAATAGCAAACTTACAGGAATAGCACAGAAGACAGACAACATTAAAAACATGTACTTGCATGTAGGACAACTCAGAAAAGTATACTGAATGGATGGAATCTACTGTGTGATAAAAATGCTACAAACACCATTTAGTTGCCGTCTATAAGAAATTTACTTGTTTTAAAAATATCCAAATGCTGGCATGGTCCAGAAAAATTTAACAGGTTTATTTATAATTGTTATAAAGTTGAACTGCTGAAACTTGTTCACTGAAACATTTTGACTTGCTTTAATGCTGCACATCCCCGCATTTTATATTAAAAATTCACACACAAATGAAAATGGAAAAACTGCCAATATTCTGTCCCCTATTTTTCCAGTCGCAATCATATACTTAAGTATCTTTTGACCCCATGGGGGAAAAAAAATCTAACGTTCAGAATTACCAATAAAGGAAGAAGAGAATTTTTTTTTTTTTTGATAATGATATGTTTTCCCATCCAGCGTGCTAGCTGGATGTCTTTGGGCATAATTGTTACACGTTTGGCATGGATATCACACAGGTTGGTGTCTTCAAAAAGGCCAACCAGATAGGCCTCACTTGCCTCCTGCAAAGCACCAATAGCTGCGCTCTGGAAGCGCAGATCTGTCTTAAAGTCCTGAGCAATTTCTCGCACCAGACGCTGGAAAGGAAGTTTGCGAATTAGAAGTTCAGTGGACTTCTGATAACGTCGTATTTCACGGAGTGCCACAGCCCCAGGCCTGTAGCGATGAGGTTTCTTCACCCCTCCAGTAGAGGGCGCACTCTTGCGAGCGGCTTTTGTAGCCAGTCGCTTCCTGGGTGCTTTTCCACCGGTGGATTTGCGAGCAGTCTGCTTTGTACGAGCCATGGTATAAAGACCTCCTTACTTACCCGCCCCCCTTCTTCGGCTGGAGCTCGGCGAGCTAGAGGCGGCGGCTGCTGCAAACACCTCTTTTGAGAGTTTTATTATTTTAGCTCTTACATTTAGGTTTTTGATCTATTTTGACTCAGTTTTTGTATATGATGTGAGGAAGGAGCCCTTCTTCATTCTTCGCTTATAGATACCGAGTTGTCATAGTCCTATTTGGTAAAAAGACCATTCTTTCTCTCATTGCATTGTCTTGACACGCTTGTCAAAAATCAACACGTTAAGAGTTTTTAGAATCTCAGTGCTATTCCATTGATCTAGATGTCTATTCTCATGCCAGCACTATGCAGTCTTTTTTTTTTTTCTTTTTTTTTTTTTGAGACAGAGTG